CACCTCGATTGCTCAGAAACCCGTTTATCCAACTTTTACTTTGGATAGATTGAACCCATTTGATGGTGCATCGGCCCTCGAAAAGCGATTTGATCCGTGAGTTTTGAACTGAGAATTTTGTTTGTTTACTATTCTTTCATTGTTTTCTCTAGGCATAGCAACATGTTCGACGGAGCGGAAGCTCGGTTAGCGATCCATGACAATGAACTTGACCATGTACCTCATCGACAGCGACGGTATGGAGGAAAACGTGGCAGGCCTGTTGTCATCGGTAGAGCCATCTATGGCCGAGGTAGAATGCATTTTCGACCCACGACATCGCATCAGGTCTCTCCTAGAGTTTCTCAGGTTCATTGCTATTTTTATTTTCTCCTTTTTTCTTAAGTACTCTATTCTCACTTATCATTTTTAAATTGATATCTAAAAGTAAATTGTTGTAGACTGCAAAAATAACCGAGATGCCCTTACCCGTTCCCGAACATCGTGATGTTGCAACACATACGGAACATGAACGTGCAGTGCAAACTGAAGCGCAACCACCCGTGGAAGAGACTGTACCTAAAGACGAAGTCGAAGAACTCGTGGAAGAAGATACTGAGTCCACTATAACTCCAGAATCTGTTAAGCATCATGTGCATCACAAGAAACCACCGGTTCCAAAGAAAATGCCCTTCGTGGGGTCGGGACAAAAGGTATGTATCGAATTAGGAAAGTAAATGACAATTTGGTGAACGTTGGTATTAAGGGCAATAATACTTTTTCGATTGCTGGCAATCAACAACAGGTCATGAAGATTATAGGAACGAGGTTCCAAGAATGGCTTCCACTAGGTAATTTTTGAATTTTCATTGGTTTTCTGAACAATATTTTTCTACTTTTTTTCAGCGAGAAGTATAATTTACGACTCACATTGCAAAGATTATGCAAAAGCTTTGTATAGAGATCTAGTCAGACAAAAACGATCTCATATGGAACAGATGCGATTGTTGGAAATGTGAGCTTTTATCTGTTTAGTTTTTCTAAATTTTACTTACATTTCTTACAAGGGAAGAATACTTGGTCGTAGTGACGTTCCCATATGAAATGAGTACTATCTTATAGAGCATGGAACGGTGATTCTAA